GCTTGGAAGAATGGATAGCTCATCTCATTTAGACCAATAAAGTGGAAGAACCAGTTTAGAGAAATATATCGCTATACGTGAAAATTCATGGTATCAATATGTCGAAGCTGAAATAATGGAAGAAAAATTAGAATTTTTACCTATCTATCCTTTGTTAGAAACAAGCACATTGTCAAAAATTATTTTGAGGGACAAGAAAGCATATTATTTGAAAAATATTTGATGGAGGGCGTGGTACTATCTGTAAAAGTCGAGCTTATTTAAAAATAATAGATCGATATTTTGTTGAAATGTTGTCATTGGTTCTTATTCAGAGAAAGAAATTGAATAAATGAATGACTATATCAACGATAGATAAGTACATTGAAAAGAGCAAAATTTAAAAAAAAATAGTTGATTATGTGGTGAGGTTTGTAGCTATGACTTCTCATAAGTATCTTTCATGATATCAATGGAAACAAGGAATTTCTCGAAATCAAATTACAAATTTTCAATTTTTCTTTGAATTTTCTCTATACGGAAAAATAAAAGTATGCTCACAGGTGATATTAATTTTTCTTGTGTTGGAGGCGTTAAACAGGATTTCCGATTTGAGAGAACTGAAGACATCTGGACCTTGAGGAAATTCGAAAATATTTTCTACTTTCTGTGGCATTTTTTAAGACCTTTTAGTATATGTTGCAGAAACGCGATTCTCAAGTAATAGCGGTTACTTTTTTGAAAACATTTCAAGAAAAACATTTTGTAGTAATAGAAGCTTGAAGAAAGTAAACAATTTTAGAAGTCTTGTATTAATCTTCGTCAGAAACTCACATAAGGTGTTTTCAGCAAGAACTTTAGGATTTCCTATGTTTTTCTATTTCCAGGATACTTTAAAAATGATCGAGAATTAATGCTTCAAGATTCACAAGAGCAGCTTAATAGAAGAGCAAAACTTTTTTTGTATCACTATTAGTGATTGTCGGTGGTAATTGTTAATATATATTAAGTGTATGTTCATCTCGTTTGGGATTTTTCGAAGTTTATACGGAAAAGCAAGAATTAGTAGGGTCTTTGAATTAATTTTTCTTATAATTTTGATAGAATTAGTTCTATCTTACAGTTTGTTGCACTTGAATTGAAGTATTATAGTGGAGTCACTTAAAATAATAATACAGACACTATTTGTAATAAAAACAGCTGTCTGAGATGCGTGGCAAATTTTGATTTGTTTTGATAATAGAGAGTTGCAAATTGACAGACAAGTGTTTTTATATTCTTTAGATAAAAGATGTTTTCTTCGAAAAAAGACGCATAAATCATCCATTTATCTTGAAAAATGAAATAGAAGTTAGCTGCAGTTTCAAGATAGGAGAACAAGTGGCTTATTCGTTGCATTTTCTTTCACACGAAAATTAAGCTAAAATATGTCCTTCTTAAGAGAAAAGTCAGCGGAATACACGAAAAGTTTATTATTTTCAGTTAGCAATTGTTTAAATAGAGAGTATCTCGTCTTTTCATTAGAAAAAATCCTAAATTTTAACCGAGAAATATATATTCTTAGGATGGAATTCTCACAACTTATATTGATTGAGTATTAAACTTCTGAGAACAGGTTTTACTATTCTCATATGAAACATATGATGACTTACTATTCGTAGACAAATCAGAGTTTCTAAAAGTCACCAAGTATGTTACTCAGCAGTCATAATTTATTACCTCTTTATTTTTCAAATAGAGAGATGATGTATGGATTATTGATACAGATTGTATTTCTCGACTCAATAAAATGAAAATATTTGTAAACTGACTTGAAGTAAGGTAGTGAAAAAGAGGTAACCTAAAATACATCTTGGATAAGTATTCTTATTAGCAATGTTGTCATGCTGACTCGGATCATTGAAAATCTAAACTTTAGTGTAGCGGTAGCAGCTGCAAAATAAAATATGTTGATTAACAATTAAGAAAAACTAACTGACGTTTGTGGCTAATTTTAAAGAAGAAATTGGAAAAATCTTATTGGAGTTGTTTTGCATTTAATTTTACGCCACTTTTAGATTAGGGAACATATCCTATTTTTTCGAAAGTAATGCTTAAACAATGTAGTGATGATAATGGTAATACTGGTAATGAATGTATAAGTGAAAATTACTTTAACCAAGAATGAAAGTTTAACTGAGGGACAACTAATACTCGGTTTTACTAACCACAATAGGAACGATGAATGACAAAGCTTCTGGTGAATTTAGGTTTTGATTTTCTTTAAAGTAACATTTATCACAAAGTACAGTTCCTCAAAAGAAAAATCAGGAATAAATTTTCAGTAAAGCGGTTCCAACAATAACGTAATCCTCATTGCATCATACTATTTTGAAGCTAATTTCACAACGGCAACATTATTAGAAAAAACAAAAGTTTGGTCGAGAAAAAAGAAAACAAATTTTCAGACATTTTAATTGATGTTTTGCAAATTTTAAATCTTCATTGAAGTGAGTTTTGAAACAATTATTAATCGATGCACGAGGATAGTGCTCCATGTTAGTTTTACATTCTTCGCTGTTCACTGTCAAAGCGCATAATATTAGACATTCGAATCATTCTAAAACAACCAAACTTTGTGCTAATTGATGAGTGCACATCTGTTTCATGGATGTCGTGATAGATGACAAGATATTAATTAGGAATATTTTACAATTATAATTGTGACTTATATCCATAATGTCACAACCCTTGTGAAATTGTTAAACGATTATACTAGCTAGCACATCTAATGTAAAATAATTATATTCTTTAATTCTTTAAATAAAAACCTGGAATAAATCATCTTGATCCTTCATTCATAAGTGATTTTGATGAAAGCGTTAACTACTGAATCATTAAATAATCATCATCAAGTTTGCTTACTCTGATACATTGCCAGTGAAATAAATAGTTTTATCCAGTCGGATCCAAGTCGTTTGAAAACGCGTTTGAAGACATAGAAAAGTATGTTTTTTACATCTTCTAAACAAATTAACTGTTTTTAGTTCGAATAACAGGTTTCAACTTAATGAAGGGCAGAAACCGATTTTTTCGAAAATAAAAATCGTTTTCTTGCCTTTGTTTCAGCGTAAAAACGCCTGAAATCACTCTTGTCTTGGAAATTAGATTGTAAGCCTTTGAAGACGTAACGAAATCCTTACATATTCTTGAAAAATTCATTGTATCATTATGGAATGTAAAGATAGTTTATTGAACAATCGATTGTTACAGCATATGTGAATCTACACTTTGCAAGAGAATGATAAACCTTGTTGACGATGACCCATGGTTATGTGCCCTATAGCATATTATTGTAAATGTTTCCTATAAAATCATGCATTAATCTATTCTCAATTGTAGAATAAAATACCTTTGTGGGTAATATCACCCAGTAATAAACCTTTTAACGTTTTTGCATAAACCTTTCCTATGAAAGTATACATTAATCTACCCTCAATCGTAGAATAATATACTCCAGGACGACATAATCTAATAATCTATCCTTCAACGTATTATAATAAACTCTTCTCCTGGAAGTGTAGAGTAATCTACCATTGATTGTGGAATCAGAAACCCTCTTTTCTTAGTCGTATAATAATATACCCTTGATCGCAAAATAATAAATCTTTGCGGAACATTTGTAGATTATTCTATCCGTATTCGTTTAGTTATAAACCCTTTGATTAAAATATTGCGATATAAAACCCTTCAAAAAGTTTTATAGACCCTTTGCAAATTCAAATACTCTTCCGATCAAAAATCCTTCGGATCATAAACCCTCGAAAGGTTTATGATAGTCGCATAAACCCTTGAAAGGTTTATAAAAAACAAAATCAAG